GGGGACTCGCGCGATTTCGCGCTCTCCCCGGTCGCACGAGCTTGATGCCGCGTTCCCCTCCATGCACACGGAGAGCTTGGCTCCCGAGAAATTGCCGGTTAGAGGGTTTCTCACGGGCTGGCTGAGCGGTGCTTTGAGGTTCATGCGGGCCAAGATGTCAATGCAACCCAGCTAACCAAAAGGGCGAATTTGGTCTCTCGGAGCCTGCATGGGGATGCGAGCAACCAACCACGTCCTTGATGTAACTTTTAATTGTATCAGAGATCTTTCTTGTCCGTGTGTGGTTCAGTCTCTCCAATTTGATGCAATTTATCCAATTAGTGAAAAGGTAGAAAAGTTGCTCCCAGTAGTTTCTTCCAACGGGGAACTAGGAAGATGAGCAATGATTTATTGGAACGTATGCTCTTCAGGAAGCTGCCCCGCTTTGTAAATGACATCTCGAATCCTTTCACGTGGATCCAATCCAATCTGAACTCTGAAGATGAATTTATCTCAGGACTGCAGCAAGTCTGAAGCCTCCAGATGTTGATGTCTGGTACCAATACAGTTGTTCCATTTTCCTTCTTCTCCTTCATCATCGTCCGAGAGCTGGATCCGGCCGTGGATGGCACTACTAAAGATTGCGGTTTCCACAACTTGGGACGATGCAAGCGAAAGAGTATAAATGTTCATCTTCTTCAGATGACTTGGAACACTTCAAAGATGCACAGCATGTACAATTCTACAGTCTACTATTGGAATATATTGGACTAACATACAGGTTCAGACACAACCAGGGTAACCAGCAGAGACACAAAGAATCACAAATAAACCAATCACGGAAACTAATTAAGCGATTGCATTCATCCTTGTATATGTGCCAATTGATCAATCCAGTGGCACCAGAAAGAATGCACAAGTATATGGCTATCTGCTTCATTACTGTATTCATCAGCAGCAGAAGGATGTTCACCTTATACCAGCCAACAGAAGAAGGATGCACAAGTAAGTATATCCTATGCCTACCCCAACTTCATCGGTGCATCTACTCTAACCCTATACAACTAAACTCAGCAACACTTTCATTCAACGGCAGCAGCCCACCTCAACTTTAATCCGGCAAAATCTGTTGACTTCAACTCTGATCAGCAGGATGTTCTTTCTAGGAAGTCTCTTGACTTGAACTCTGATCAGCAGCATGTTATCCCTAGGAAGCCTGATGACTTCAACTCTGACCAGCAGGCTCTTCTCTCTGGGAAGCCTGATGACTTGAACTCTGATCAGCAGGATCTTCTCTCTTGGAAGCCTGATGACTTGAACTCTCAGCAGAAGGAGCACGTGGGTAGATGATGTTGTAGTGATTTCCTGTGTACAGCAGGGTCACACTCGGACGGGGAAATCCAGGACCAGTGTAGATATCTCGAGCATATCCTTGTTGGAATGATTCCGCTCTGAGGGGGACCTCAAGCGCTGTGGCCAAAGCCACCAACATAACATGGTCCGCGTCCACACGAGCTGGAATGACCTGCTCGAAGCACCACTGTTTGTGCAACAACAAGTCAGGTAAAATGAGTGTCGTGTATCCAACAATGTATGCACTTGAAATTCAGCAGGAGGTAATCTAAGGGAAGGGGATGCTGATACTGACAACTTCCAGACTGCAATTTCCTTGGTCGACCTCTGGTATATTCGGTACATAATCCTCACTGTGCGAGCATATGTGGATAGCTACTAGTAATCTGAGGAAAGCAAAAACTAACCAATAAAATGTGTCAGAAACATGAATTACGATGAACAGAAGGAAATGTAAGTTCAAGGGTGTTTCTCTCACTGTCTTGCGTCTCATCATACGTGCTGAAGAACTGGAGAAGTTCCTCTTTACGGCAACTAAAAATGGCACATATTATGTCAGTGAGATGGAATGTGTTCATCTACAATACTTCGATGGAATTGCAGAAAACCATAAGAATCAAAAACCTGCTAGTTGATTCCGTGCCCTTCCATCTCATTACTTTCTCAATCAGCTCCTTAAATGCCTGAAAGAATCAGCAACTCGATTATTCATGGTTGATAATCATTACATACCATAGGATACAATAATACATACAGAATATTGATCAATGGCAGGATATAAAAGAACACAGCTAAGACACCTCCCTGAGAAGCTTCAGTCATTACAGATATACTATAGCATAGTAACAGAACAGTGAGGTGGCTGTACAATAATAACCAGCAGGCGTGCATTGTTGCAGTGCTCAAACAAGCATAAAATTATGTTATTTCCCAATTATATTGCTGTTGTTCCTTTGCAAGTAAATTTCTCTTAAGGTTGTTGTTACAATCGGGTTGTTAACTTCATAATAAGCTTCAAATTTGAGTTTGTGCCAACATTGTGTAAAACTGTGACGGCATGCCACTACTGTTAAGCAATTGTGCATCTCCTGCAAATGACAAACAAAGATAGTGAGATACCAGATGATGCTTGAAGTGTACTTTGTAACCTGAAGAGAATCATCATCCCTTGCAAGCATGTTTATCCAAGAAAGAACAAATATGGAGGAGGTGAGAACTTACTCTGCTGGTCCTGGAAAACTCAGAGTTCCATCCAAGATTTGCATGTTGCACAGACATTCTTTCAACAACATCAAGGAGACGATGCTCCTCATCTGTGTCCTGCCTATCAATAACTTGCTCCTGTTGTACATTCGCATAAACAGAGAAAGTTAAATAACTAAACCTACATCATATGCTAAGAAAAAGAGAGGAGGTCAATTACTAGGTAGGAAAATATGAAGCTCCTGTAGAAACACTCCCCATCTCCAATCACCAGTCTAATTTCCGAATAGGCATCAAGATGGTTCGCCTCGTAAGAAGAAACCATATAACGATTCCTTACTTCATTGATGGGACGTGTCTGCAAGAACCACACAAATACAAGAATTCAAATTACGGAGTATTTTTTAACATGGAAACAACATATCTAAAAAGGTGATGGAAAGTTTGTTTTTATTCCAATATTCGGTTTTTAAAACCACTGCCATATATAATCCCATCACTGATATTGATCTGTTGCTGTTCAATAAGAAAAGAAGAAGATATCTGTTAATGTCTGATAAACTCAACAACAGTACAAGTACGATTTAGCTTCCATCAATTTGGTACACAGTTTACTATCCATAAAAGAGAGAATAATCTGTCTGAACAGTTCATCGTACAGGAACCATGAATCAAGTATCTTGTGATCTCAGACTTTCATCCTGATATTTCATGCGCTTCAAATTTGAACATCACATTAGGCAAAATGTTGACAAACCTGGTGCTCCACATGTGCTGAACCTATTTGCTTTCCTTCTCTACGAAAAATCTATTTGATAAGAAATAAAGAGAAAGAAATTAATGTCTGATAAACTCAACAACAGTACAAGTACGATTCAGCTTCCATCAAACTATCACAACCAAGAGTTAACATAAAGTTTAGTATCCATAAAAGAGAAAATAATCTTTCTGAACAGTTCATCATACAGGAACCATGAATCAAAGTATCTTGTGATCTCGGACTTTCATCCTGATATTTCACGCACTTCAAATTTGAACATCACACTAGGTAAAATGGAGACAAACCTGGTGCTTCACATGTTCTGAACATATTTGCCTTCCTTCTCTACGAAAAATCTATTTGACAAGAAATGAAGAGAACGAAGTTAAAGTCCATACATCCGGGCAGTCTTACAATTGTACAGAATCAACAAGAAACCAAGCATTTTCCTTTTCCCAGTAAAAAAACAAGAATGTAATAGCAAGACGACAAACGTTCAAGTCCAAAGCTCTTTATTTTCAGCAACTATTTAAAAGAAATTATATTCTGAGGCTTCTGAGCGAGTTCCAGGTACCAATCAACCAAATGGCGAAACTTCTCAACCAAATCCTGAAGTGGTCAGAGATTTTGCATGTAAATGGCAAATTATTTACAGAAATTATATTTGGCTATGCAGTGCTGAACAAATGTCTAGACTAAATCTTTTGATAGCAATATCTGTTTACAAAGGAAGATCGTACATTCGACTTCAGGCTCTGTTACAAAAATATTGCAGTAATCAGGACATGACCTCCTGATTTCCACAAACAACAAGGACGTGTGTACTGCTCCCAACATTTGCCCAAGATTCCTCCTCTACTCTAGGATGCCACATGATGCTCAAACCAAGTTCTATGCAGTTGACTTGCCTTGGTTAAACTAACAGGTCCAGAATTAAACTAACAGTTCACATTTGCCACATGATTGCTCTTTTGCCTTGGTTAAACTAACAGGTCACATTTGCCACATTTGCCTTGGTTAAACTAACAGGTCCAGAATTAACATGAACAAACAGAAATCAAGAATCCCAATTCCAGTTTCCATGCACATAAAATAGGTAAGTACAAGAATGCTGGTCATACCACCCAAGAATCACAAGTGCGAAGAGTAAACAAGATTCAGGTCATACCTTGTTTTTGAGCCAACTCCAGAGCGATTTCCCCTTTTCAGGCCTGGGTCTCACCTTAACTTGAGGTAGTTTCTTCTCCTACTCCACAGAGTTAGCATCAGGATTCACACATTTCGTATTAGCAAGGTGAAAGGACTAACAAGATTGAAAAATGTGGAGTTATCCAACTCCTCTCTAATCTTGCCGATTTTTATATGAATTGAGTTTCGATTTTCGAGGCTTCATAGTCAGAATCAAACTTTCAGGTAACAGATGACCTCCTGATTTCCACACATTTTCGCTTCAAAATATGATGCAGATTTCGGAAAGACCCACGAGCAACAAGGGCGTGCGTACTGCTGCCAACATTTGCCCAAGATTCCTCCTCTACTCTAGGATGCCACATGATGCTCTAACCAAGATTCCTTGCCTTGATTAAATTAGCAGGTCCAGAATTAACACGAACAAAGAGAAATCAAGAATCCCAATTCCAGTTTCTGTGCACATAAAGTAGGTAAGTAAAAGAATGCTCATATGGCTATACCACCCAAGAAAATCACAAGTGCGAAGAGTAAACAAGATTCAGGTCATACCTTGTTCTTGAGCCGACTCCAGAGCGATTTCCCCTTTTCAGGCCTGGGTCTCACCTTAACTTGAGGTAGTTTCTTCTCCTACTCCACAGAGTTAGCATCAGGATTCACACATTTTGTATTAGCAAGGTGAAAGGACTAAGAAGATTAAAAAATGTGGAGCTATCCAAATCCTCTCTACTCTTGCTGATTTTTATATGAATTGAGTTCCTTCCCCGGACCCTGCGCAAGCGGGAGCTACATGCACCGGGCTGCCCTTTTTTTATTTGAGTTTCAACTTTCGAGGCTTCGTAGTAAGATTCAAACTTTCAGGTAACAGATGACCAAAGGCCCAAACTTCTCGACCAAACTCTAGGGTGGAGTAAGAGATCAAAGGCTTTTGCATAAAAGTGGCTGAGGATCCAGATAATGTATGTCAAGTTAAGTAATCCAGTGCAAACATTCAGACTAATTTCTCCTATAATTCAACTCATTTACACTGAAAACTGATTCATTTTGGCTTAAGGATTTTCTTGTTAAAGTATCACAGCAACTACTGCCACCACATATCCTCATATATACCTCCCCACGTTTCCACTTTCAGCAAAATATGTCATCACACTGAATAGAAGAATCAGTTAGAACAAGACTGGACACCTAAATCTTGAATAGTTTCGAATAATCACAGCAAGGTGTTCGTTCGTTCTAAATTCTTACTGTACCGCAAGAGGAACTCCGAGTCACAATCATGAAACTGTCCCCAACATTTGCCCAAGATTCCGCTTGTATATTACTCTAAATCATCCCCAAGATTCCAACAAACTTAAGAGATCACAGTTCCACACCCCGAACAAGAAAATGGTCAGGGTTCCGTACTCCAAATCACAAGCGAGCAAGCAAGAAAAGACCAGATTCAGGCTATACCTTTTCCTTTCCCGGGAGCGCGTCCTTGGCGTGCGGCGATTCCACCTGCTCGAGAAGAAACCAAGAAACGCTCAAGAACGCACTCCAGGAACTCCAAGAAACTCAAAGAAACAACATCGCGAACGCCCATCACCTGCTCCTCCTCGCACTCCTCGATGATAACCGACTGCCCCGCTCGTACCACCTGCTGGAACACCCGCGTATAGTCGAACTGCAGCGTCGCGTTCCTCGGCACCACCATCCTCCTCCCCGCCGAGGAGCTTGACCCCCCGGCTTCGAAGGCGGAGGCGGAGTCGGGGATGCTGCCCGCGGAGCTTGGGGAAAAAGATGGCGGAACGGCGGCGATTCCCTTGCCCTTCCGGGGGTCCACCACCGTGGCGGGGCTCGACCCATCGGCGCCGCCTCCGGCCTGCTCGAGGTGGAGGGGCGCCGCGCGGGGAGGTGGCGGCGCAGCAGAGCTCGGGGCCCCATCCCCATTGGAGGAGGAGGCGGCGTTGGAGGCCGGTTCTTCGATGCGGTCCTCCTCGACCGGTTCTGCTGCTCCTGTACCTGAGCCTGAACCGGGTGGCTCCATCGCGGCGGGAGAAACTTGGAGGACTCGCGTGGCAATTCCGCAAACTCGCGAGGGCGTGGAGAAGAAAGGTGTGCGGGGTGCGGGATGGAAAAAGGGAGAAGGGTTGACGGCTATTTATTTGGAAATTCTGATGGCGGTTTGGTCCCTTGGGAGTTCCTGTTTTGCAAACAACTCCACATTGAACCAAGCATTAGTACAGGGCAGGCACACACTTGTCATTTGCGGATACAGCCCATACGAAAGATAAAAATTACAAGAAAGGCAATCAGAAACACGCGACCAATCCATGGTTGAATAGGTAACACGTGTCATGTCGCACAACATAAGTTGTATCCGGGCATTCAAGAGGAAGGGGGTAGCCATCGAACGAGGCCTACGTTGATCACAATTTGATCTGGCAATGCCTTGCGACATGACGTGTCCTTTAAGGGTGGTTGTCACTTGTCCAATCATCGCAAGGGCCCAAGAAATTTCAATAAAATCTTCGCCGGGATGAGATTTTACGTCTTAGTAGATGGATTCAAGTGATAGTAGTATGGGAAATAAATTCATCGAAATAAGGAAAATAAATATGGCTTTCATTGTAACCGAATATTCTATGGCAATGATTTTGATGGCGAGTCTATGTCTATCACTTTGAAATATTATATAACTAAACAAATGATTATTGTTAGAGACTGTCTAGAACTCAGTTGACTGAGACATAATTTGGTCTTCGTCAACTGACAAGTGATAGTAGTATGGGAAATAAATTCATCAAAATAAGAAAATTAAATATAGCTTTCATTGTAACCGAATATTCTACGGCAATGAATTTAATGGCGAGTCTATGTCTATCACTTTGAAATTTTATATAACAAAACAAATGATTATTATTAGGGACCGTCTAGAAAGCCTTGTTCGATTTCCAGGCATATCCTATTTCGGTTAGTGTGCATTTTGTAAACGGGCGCCTGAAGCCCTTCAAGTTGGGCCGACCCATCCATCTCTTTTTTTTCCTTTTTTAAACCCGCAAAAGATTGAGCGTGGTGTGAATCAAATACCCGACCTCCTAATCGCATCCACATTGCACTAACCAACCAGCCACCTCATGCTATGTGATTGCTTACATCATTGTTCTTTTCCCTCCCCCCCTTTTTTTTCCTTTTCCCTTTCCCTTTTTTCCCCTTTTTCTTCTTCCTGATTGGATGAACTTTTTCAAATTAATGAAGTTTTTTTTCAAAAACGATTTTTTCAAATTCATGAACTTTTTCTTCAATGTCAATGATTTTTTAAATTTTGGTGAAGTTTTTTTCCAGATCGATGAACTGTTTTCAAAATCAAATTTTTTTTGTCGAGATCAATATATTTTTATTATCAAATTAATGAACTTTTTTTTAGAATTCGATGAACTTTTTTTCAAATTAGATGAACTATTTTTCATATAGATGAACCTTTTTTAAAGTTCATGAACTTTTAAAAAAGACATGCACATTTTTAAATAATCCATTAACTTTTTTGAATTCATGATTTTTTTTTTGTTTTTTTGGTTTTTTTAACAAGTGCGCTCGAGTAGATAGGCCGGCCCAACAGCGTCGAGGCGTGGCGCCAGGGAGCTTCCCTCGCGACTAAAGCGCTGAATAGGAGCTCCCCGATTTCCCCTGCACGGCTAGTTGTCTTTTTTTTGTTTTATGCTGGACTTTCATATCCTTCTTCCCTGTCAAATACTCGACGACAAAAAGGCCAGCCACAAGCTTATGAGTTTCATGCAACAAACACATGATGATTCCCCTTAAAAACATGAATATTTGCATGCGTGTGTCACCAAAAAAAGAAGGAACTTTACAACTCCTAGATTGCACATTAAAAAATAAATTTACTTAATATACTTTATTCATTAAGCCGAAACGTCATAGTTGATTTTTGTTCAAGGTTAAGAAAAAAACATTATGGACTAGGAACTGGCCGGACAACTCTCCTTTCGACCGCAGTTGTGGTAACTTTGTGGCTCATGCAGTTGTAGTCGGATTATAACGTATGTAGTTGCATATCTGGTAGTGGACATGTAATTGACCCGTAACAATTCCCCTTGTGACCCCCCTTGTAGTCCCTTTGTGCACTGCAATTGCAGTCGGGTTATAACACTTGCATTGCATATCTAGTGGTGAACATGCAAACTGCCCTGGCAACTCTCATCCCGACCACAGTTGCATCGCTTTGTGCCTGTAAAACTGCAGTTGGGTTACAATGATTGCACTTGTATGTTTAGTGGTGGACATGCAACTGGTCCCGACAACTCCCGGTTGCAACCACTTTGTGTCCCATGCAGTTGCAGTCGGGTTACAACGCTTGCAGTTGCATGTCTAGTGGTGGAGATGCAACTGGCACCGACACCCTCCTTACTCGACCTTGCTGTCGCTTTGTGCATGTTTAGTTGCACTCGTTTTGTGCTCGTACAGTTGTAGTCGGTTTACATCATTCGCAATAGCACGTCTAGTGGTGGACATGCAACTGGTACCGACACCCCTACCCGACCCAGTTGTAGTGGCTTTGCACATCGCGCAGTTGCAAATCGGGATACAAGGCTTGCAGTTGCATGTTGCCCGACAACCCCTACTCAACACTACTTGCAGTTGCTTTGCGCCTCGTGCAATTGCATTCGGGTTAAAAAACTTGAAGTTGCATGTCTAGTGATTGACATGCAATGCCCCGACAACCCCTTACTAACCCAGTTACAACCATTTTGCGTCTCGTGCAGTTCTTGTCGGATTACAATGTTTGCAATTGCATGATCAGTAATGGAGATGTATCTGAGATATTTGCATGAGAAAAATATTTAAAAAATCACACACTTGCATTCCTCTTGCAAATAATAAAAACAACAGAAGGATTTGACTGGTCGCCCCACTAACACGCCAGTAGAAACAAGATGGTAGGAATGTGAAAATATATAGGAGGACTCATTTCTATCGGTGGCAACATAGAATGTTCATGACAAGATAACGAAACAACTTGAAACAAGAACACAACTGATGGGCCACAACCACAAGTTCGGTGTTTGATCCAGAACGAGAAGAGATAACAAGGAACCAGAAAAGAAGAATATGAAAATAGGCTGCGACAGGCCAGTCGCAAAAGTTCCCTCAAAAGATTCATGGCAGGAATGCACGAATCATAGTGTACTTTAATCTGACAGTCAATGAGGTGAATGAGACCAATTTTGAGTTTTAGCAAAAACGTTATTATTAACCTATTTGTGTTGACATGCAACCGTGTCATCATAATATGTAACGGCATACGGGAAAGAGTCCATTCAACATAAAACCTTGCATGAAACTCATAATCAAAGTAAACGAATACTCTATTAATTTGGACACTGGATGAGAATCTTGCATAAGAACTACCCCGATCTCTTGCTAGCTCTTGCATACCTCACCTGCTGGAATTTTGTCTATTTTGGGCCAGCCCAATAGCAATTTCAAAAATTTCTAATAAATCCTAAAGACCCACGCAGCCCATTCGTGTAAGGCAAGATGTGGAACTAAAGTTTAGTCCCACATTGCTAGTTTAGAGGGAGTTGGACCTCTTTATAAGAGAGGTTCTTTCCCCACATGTATGAGGATGAGAACAAGAGGGACATCCACACGCGCTCCTCCTCCGCCGCCCGCCTCGCCATGCCACGACGCGCCGCGGGTTGCGAGAATGAGCCGAGCCGATGTCTAAATTTTTGCCACGCATGACGGGTATACGAAAGGTCACACGGAAGCTGAAACTTTTTGCTGTAGTGGAGATTGAATATGAACGGCGCAACTCTTCGCCTGCTGCCTATTCGTTTCGTCTCTCTCGTTCTCTTCAGCTCCCAGCACAACCTCTCTCCTCCTTCTCTTGCGCCTATAAAAGGGAGGTCGCTCCTCTCAGAGAGACACACCAGAACTTCTTCTTCCTCTCACCACAAGTTCCCGAGCATTGCGCTGCTGCTACATTCTTCCCCATGCCGGCTTGCGGCGTGCACCGTAGGTCGGGACAGTAGGCCTCCGAAACCGCAGCTCTTTGAGTCCTGTACGGGAGAAGGGTGATAAGGTTTTTGGGAAGCGCTTTGCGCGACTACTGACTTCTTCGTCACGGACGCCCCGGACTCCGACGACTACTTCCCCGACGACGACTTCTTCCCCGACGTCGACAACCTCCTCGACGACATGGCTGGCGAGGACACCGACCCCAAGTCCAGCGCTTCTATTGCTGCTGTCCTGTATGTGTTCTTCCTCTTTTTATTAGAGGCCCCGCTACAGTTCCTTGTTCTAGTGTTTGCCCTAGATATGTTAGGCTCTATTTCATATATGCAACTTGCTATACTGTCTACTCTAGATATGTTTAGTTACAGTTTATATATGAAGATGTTGTTTACCTTCTCTTTGTCAATTTGCATGACTTGTTTTATCACTGGTATACTAGTCATGCTTTATCTAGTATTTCTATTAATAAAATCATTCGGTAAATTGCTCATATTTCCAACAATCCAAAAACCTTATTATAGGCAATTTACACCAAGTGGTTTTGCTGCTTCCATGAGACCTCCTATGTTTGAGGGTATCCACTATAAGAGGTGGCGCGTGAGAGCAGTCTTATGGTTTCAAACCATGAGTTGCTATGACGCCACTCTTGGCAAACCTGAAGGGGAGTATGATGCC